CCCCAAAACCCCAAAACCCCATAAGCTAAATCATCTTTTAAAGTCAAAGAATTAAACAATAGTCAACATCAATTATTTGTAAGTTAAGTTCACAATTGATTTATAAATTCAGAAAATAAGTTCTTTGTTCAATAATAATTATAGTAGTAGTTGTATTTCATAACTTTTAATGTTAGTGATCAGTCCAATCAATCTTAAACACAGTATCACTTAGTTTTATCTCACTTCCTTGTCTAATTGGCTCCATCTAGCTTTCTTATTTAAATTACCTTAATCTATAATCTGTAAGACACACCCATGTCCCATTAGCACTCTCTCTTTGATCATTACCATCTCGAATGCCCCAAGTGAATTTTCGCTTTTAGTCTAAAATGACGCTTGAATCATCCATAGAATCATTAAATACAAATCTACACTGCTCTCTACTGATAGTAATCTAATTTGTTATGATGTCACATGTTGCAGCCCTTCCAAGTTTATATTCAATTCTTTGATTCTCTGTTCTCGAAACTAGAAGATGATTACTTGTTCCGCCTGAAGTTACAATTTCAAATTTTACCAACGAATACGGTTTTGGAATTTAAACAACTGGGCCTATTGTCTTAGACTCTTCTTTGTTATCCTTTGAATGCTTAAATTTCTTTTAGTTCAAAAACTTAGCATATTCATGTTTCTCAATTCCATATATCTTAGTCTAACTTTAATACTCTCTAGCGATATACATCATAAAATCCTCATATGTATTGACTATCATTTAGTTACTTGAGTAATTCTGGTTCGAGCTCATTAGATCTATAATATTGAAGTATATATCTGTTCCAATTTAATAATTCTAGCCTTTTCTAAGTTCATGGCTGTAATCCTTTGAAACTTTTAAATAAGTACTATGCACAGATCCTAGATCCTAAACATAGAATTAGCATGGCTCTTTTAGGTAGGATTGTATAATTCATCTTATCTCAATTGGAAGATAAGTCCTTCCTCTTTTGAGCTCCTTTTAGTGGAAAATTTTTGAAAATTCAAGAAATGTTTTAGGAATCGGTAATCTTGTATTGATAAAGCCGTATTTATATATGATTCTACAATGAGTTCTGCTAATTGCTAAATCTGAGATAGGAAGTAGTATATCGTTAGGTCTTATTCCCTAATATATTAGAATTAGTTTATTTCAATTAAGAATTTACATTTTCATTTATATATTGTCTTCCTATGGTTACATCTCCATCGGGGTAAGTTCTAAGGGAATTAACAACTCCTCTTGGAGTTACAAAGTAAGTAGTATTTAAATTTGATAAATCATTATTACTTCTAAGAATCTATTAAAAAGTGAGTAAACTAATATAAAAATAGAAGTTAACTTACAGTAATCTTCATATATAATTCATTTGGCAGAATATATGATACTTTTGGTTTTTCGTGAGGGTTTTTATTGTCATAAATGTCAAATTAGTCACTAGATATATTACCTCTGCCTTCAAGAGGAAACTAATCTTGATAGTGGGAGTTTCTTATGTTCTGTTCATCAGGAATAGCATCAATATGGTCATCTTCATTTGAAACTACCAATTAGTCTTGTATATTGAATATGTTGTCATTTCTCTCTTCATTATGATGTATTTAGCTAAGCAGATTTAAAGACTCCTCATCAATTGACTCCTGTCTTTCAACAGACTCGATTGATGGCAATATCTCCTACTGTACATGCTACTGCTCAACTTCATTTTACTAAGATTAGAGACTTTCAAGACATAGAAAGTTGCTCACACTTCCACTAATGTTATCTGGAATTAAGTTGAATAGTTCCGACTACTTAGATTCTTCATCATAGTTATTTGAAGAGGATGTCATATATTCTCGACCCTAGATTGAGGGATGCTTATTCTAGTTCATAAGTGGACTAAAATGTAGAGCTTAGCTTATATATGGTTAGTTCTTAAGATGATGTGATTGATCACTATCTAGATAATAATTTGCGCTTGACATCTATCTAAAATTCATATCAATTGGAGAGGCCTCATAAAGTTTCTCTTCCTCAGTAATTGTGACATTTTCCTCTTCCATTTAAGTAATATTTATTTCAAAGATAATATCAAAATGAGTTATAAAAATGTTCGCAATTTATAAATTTTAAATCCAAAATCACTTTGCAAAACGATCGTATTACTTGAAATTTGAGTCTACGGGGTTTTGGGGTTTTGGGGTTTTGGGG